TGGCCCTGGGATTGGGCAGAGCGGGTGGTGATCTTGCTGTCTGGAGGACCATGCACACATCCGAGTTGACATCTCACGAGGGTGATTTAGGGGATGGGGTTCCTCCTCTCTGGGCTTCACCCATGGATTGTGAGTGATAAGAGGGAACAGGACAGCACGAGATGAGCTGACTGAGTCCCAGCCACCCCTGAGGGTTATTTGCATTCACAAGTAAAGTGGATGCTGAGAACTGTGTCGAAAACTGGGTGGAGCAGTCTGGGGTGGGTGGAGGGTGATGGAGAGGAGCAACAGAGGATTACTCCAGTGCTGCCTGACAGGGCAGAGGGCCCTGTGGCACGGGGGCAGGTCTCAAGTCACAACAGCCCTCCTCAGAGGTGTCGACTTGCCTCCCTATTAAATTTGATTATCCGTCTGTGTACCAGTCCCCATGACCCCCACCTGCCCAGAAAACAGTGTTTATGGGGCCCGGAGCATTAGACCTGTCATTTAGTTGGAGGAGACAACTCAAGCCACAGCGAGCCTGATGTGGAGAAGCAGTGCCCAGCGTGTGGCAGGCACCAGCCCAGACACTTAGTGCCCTGTTTACCCTGGCATGGGCGGCTGGCACAGGTGGGGCTCTCCAGGGAGTGCCCAGAGGCCCGGCCAGCAGACCCACCTGGAGGCCAGAGGCGGCCAGAACAGCAGCTCTGTGGTGCTGGGGGAGGGGCGCACGGAGAGGCATCTAGCCCCGCGGCACACCTGGGCCTCGCGCTTCAGCACACAAGGGGATGGCCCCCCAGAGCCCAGCCGCTTCTCAGCTGCCCTGCGAGAGGAGATACATGGGATCCACTCAGCAGGAGAAACTGTAGCTCTGAGGATTCTGGAAACTCCCCCAAAGCTCCCCCCAGGAAGTGGGAGGCCAGAAGAGGTGGAGGAAGCCCCAGGACTTCAGAGCCCTGGTCTGATGTGCCTGGACACCTCTTGATGCCCCAGGTCCCAGGGACCCATCCTCCGCAACAAAAGGCACGTGGCCTCACTTAAGTGTGCACCGTCTCAGCCCCCACCCCCAGCCACTCACTACACAGATGCCGTCTCGACATTCCTTCTCTACCATACAGACCCAGAGACCACACCCCCACAGCCTGGCATACCCAACACACACAGAGACTTCCAACACTCTGCTTACAGGAGTCAGACACGGGATGCTCACCCCAAGACACCCCTTCCCTACATATAACCTACACTCCTGCAATGAGGACACACACACACACATACACACACAGACTCACACACAAGTCCTCTGCACCCATATACTCTCCTTCCAGTGCCACCCCCACCAAAGGGAACCCAAGGGCGTCTAACACTTCAGTCCTGAGCGTCTCCCTCCCTCATCTCTATTACCCCCTCCTACCCCCTCTGCCTGTCCCCCTCTCCACTTGTTGCCCCCCACCTTCAGCCCTTCTCCAGGAGATGGGTGATGGGCGAACCCCTAGCTAGGCCCCTTGCCCTGAGGCCTCATTCTTTCCTCTTCCCATCCACGCATGGTGGGAAATGAGGACTGCAATCTGGGCGGTTCGCGGCAGCTCCCACTCCACTGGCCCGCAGGCTTCAAGGAGCTGGGGGCTCCAGAGAAAGGGGAAAACCAGCTGGCAGTTCCTGGGAGGGGGGAGCTCACTTCCTTCTGCTCACCATCCCCCCCAGTGGACCGCCCACCCCTCCCCATTCCAGGCTGAGTCATCCTTACATCTGGAGCCTCAGCACATCTGGAAGAGCTGAAGCCTCTGCAGGCAGCGCCACGTGTACACCCCTCCCCCATACTGCAACTCACCCCCCCAGGCTCCGCCCCTCAACCTCCACCTGGGCCAGGCTCCCTGTCAGAGTAGGCCGGCGTGCACCCCAGTGCCAGCCTCTGCGACAGGACGTCCATCGACCTCAGGGCCTCTCCCAAATAGCAGAAGCCATGGCCACTCAGTGCCCACTCCCTAGGCAGGCAGGGCAGCGCTGGCCTTGGGAGAGGCCAGGTCCCAGGTTGAGGGAGGCAGGCGAGCTGGGCCTTGAGCAGGCAGTGGTTTGGCCCAGCAGGCAGAGGGAGTTTATCCTGGCTCCCAGCCCCGAAGCCAAACATCCTTCACTAACCTCGCAGACACATCAAAGCTGGCCAGGAAGGGGCCCTTCAGTAGAGGAAACCTGCAGTCCTGGCGGCCTGACAGCCTGGCTCCAGGCACAGGACCACCCTGTCCCACTCGGCAGCCTAGGCTTGGGATGGGCTTGGCAGACTCGAGGAAGGGGACACTTCCATCCCATCCCTCTTCCTTACCCCCTCCCCAGGGCTGCCAACCTCACATCCCAGGAAAAAACTCTTCTTCATTTGTACTCGCTCTCATGTGATCCACAGATTATTCAAGGATTAGATGAATCACAATTTGAAATGGAAACAGCTACTCGAGAGTATTTGCAATCGGCCTCCATCCTCTGCAATGAGGAGCCTCATAAATTCTCCTCCACCAGAAGCTTTTCATCTTCAGGAGAAAAGAATTCTCAGAAAAATCCACCAGAATCATTTTCTCCTTCAGACCCTCCTGCAGGAAGGGCGACTGTGCCGGCAGGAACTAACCCTGAAGTCACTGCACGTGTGTCACAGAACATATTCTGTTACTGCAGGCAACTTTATGCCAACTGTTCAACACACGCACAAAACACAATGGGAATACCACAGCGTGGGCACTGAATTACCCTCTAAACCCACCGGCTTCACTTTTCCCAGGGCTTTCATCCTTGGGTGATGAAATTCAGCTAAACCAGCCGCTACGGTCCCCAACCCCCAATAATGACGTTAGAAGTCTCATTTCTCTTGTAATGCAGACGTTGAAGATAGACTGCTCTGAGGCCTTCGTGCAGCCGGCCTATGCCAAGCTCATCTCCAGAACAGGCCTCCTGATGAAGCTTCTCAGTGAGCAGCAAACAGTAAAGGTGTCCAAGGCAGAGGGGGATACTGACCAATAGAAAAGAATAATTACATGAGTGAGAGCACAGAGGCCAGAGTGAACAGAAAGGGCAGGAGTCAAGTGAGGAGAGGACAACGCCTGAGACATGGGGACCTGGACTTATCAGTGTAGGACATGCCATTACAGTGCAGGAATCTGGACACGGAGAAAGAGGCTTGGACTGGGACTGGAAACATTTCAATAGGAAAATGAGCAGAGCCCTCCTGCTGCTCTGGAGAATTTTCAGCCTCCTTAGTGGGCTCTGGAGTTATAACTGCTAGATCTAGGGGTTTAACTGTGAGGTTAGGCATCACTGGATGCTGAGCTCCATCTGGACCTGCAGGTGAAAATGTCACCTTACTATGTACTAGCGGTTATGCTGCAACATCTGTAGAGATGTCTGGAGGCGGAGTTGGGTGCTGATGCTTGACTGTAGTAGGTTCAACCTCCTCACGGATCTCTAGAGGCTGAGATGGGGCCACCCGCTCAACTGGATCAACAGGACAGTGTCCAGGGACAGGGCCCAGGGTCCAGCAAACAGATATGGCCCTGCAGGCAGCTCTCCATCTGTATTTGTGTCTGGCTAGGAAACAAAGCCTCAGGCAATTCCTGATGAGGCCTGGCCAACCTCTGGGCTGCAGAGGAGGGTGTCAAGTAATTCAACCCCCCCAGCTCTGCCCAGGGTGTTGGCCTGTGGGGAGATTCAGGTGGGAGTTTAGGGACTGTGAAATCCAAGGCTCGATCAGCCCCGGGGAGTCAGAGGTCAGCTGGACAGGGTCCAGGGACAGCTCCGGGCGCAATCTGCCTGGAATAACAGGCAAAATGCTTAAAATGCAAAGAGGGACTGTAGAAACAAAAAGTGCCACAGGGACATGACACCCCATCCTCCTTCCTTCCCCCTCCCCAGGGCTGCCAAGAGGGTGGTGTTTGCCAAGGCGAGGCTGGCACCAGGACTAAGCTTTGGCCCCTAGACCAGGGCTCCCTCCCATACTTGCCCCTCTCCCACCCTCCGGGCGGGAGACACTGATGGGGGCCTCACTTTGTGCCACAGCCTTTCGGCCCCAGCCTGGAAGAGGCGTCTGTGCTACATTGTAGGGGCACCGACTTCACCCCCCAGGCTAGCATGTTCAGGAAAGGGCCTTTCCACATGGGTAAGGGAGGATGGAGAGGGCAGGAGGCTTAGGGGTTGGGGGAAGAATGGAGCTTCAGAAAACAGAAGCTGAAGTGGAGTCGGAAGAGGAGAACTGGGCTGCAAGCCACCGGCCTGTCTCAGGGGACAGCAGGGGCCAAGGAGGAAGAGGGGCTGTGAGGTGCTAACAAGGGAGGGAGGAGGTGCTAACAGAGCGACTGGGGTGAGGGGGGATCCTGGAGGCAGACCCTTAAAGGCTGGCCCGCTGATAAGGAAGCCAGGGGGCGCTGAGAATGGGCTGTGGCATCCACACGGGAGGCTGGGTGTTGCATACACGTATGTACACGGGTGCAGACACACACTGCATGCACCCACACACGCATGTGTGCACACAACTCCAGCCAAGTCCGTCCTCGGCTGGGGGCCAGATGATGCGGCTGCTTCAAGGAGCTATGATTTGCAAAGAATGTGATCTCTGCCCACCTCTCTTCCCCGCCCCTCTGCTCACACTCATTCTTTGCCTAACTCCCAGGTCCCTGAGAGGCGATCATTTCCACAGATGTCCCAGGCTGCACCTTCTCCGCATTTTAGTCTAAGTCCTCAGACCCTTTAGAAGCCTGCCCCTCGACATGCCCAGCCCACAGAAGGGCTACCCATTCCACTAGCCGTCCTGAACCTCAGCTTGTTCCGGACTGGGAAGTTCTTCTAAAGTCTAACAACAGTCCCCTGTAACATCTGGATGTGAACAGAGACACCGGGCTGCAGCAGGACCCTCTTTCAAGGGACCAGTAAGAGCAGAGCCAGCAAGTGGGGCTCCCAGGGGATCCTCAGCCCCTTTCTTCTCTCTACAGTGTCCTATCTCAGAGAGTCACCATTGAGGGGGGGTGGGGGAGCTATAGAGAAGGGGACCCAGAAGCAGGGGACCAGGGCTAGGGGGCTCTCAAGCCCCTGAACCTGAGTTAAGTCCTTCCAATCTGAGTCTTAGTGGCTGTGCCACCCCAGACACCCAAAGCTCATTAGCTCAGCCTTGCCCCTGACTCCTCACCACCCACCTCTTGGAGGTGTTTCCCTTCCCACCCCTGGCTGTGCCCCGGAAACCTACACTTTGGAAGGATAATGGCTTCCAAATGCCATTTTTTTGTCTCTGCTAAGACTCCACAAAGGTGAGCATTAGCTGAGCTCCTCCAACCCACTCCTTAGGATAATAAGGTCCCTGCACCGTTAATTGTCAGGTGGCCCGTCTCCGTCCACTCTCCTGGCCCATAGCTTAGTGGCTCAGACCTGGGGTCAATTCCAAAAGTCATCTCTCCACCCCTACACCCATCACTTCAAGAATGAGTGAGGGCTCAGTGGCTTTCAGTTTTCAAAGAAACGCTGGGAAGGAGACTCAGACCCTGGTCTCTTGGCCAAGAATTCCTATTGGCAACCTAGCGTGCATCCTGCCTCTCTCAGAAGGTGGACACTGAGCCGAGCATCCCTAGCAGTACACCCCGTAGGAGTTGCTCAATCCCCAGCAAGCCATCTTCCTCACTTGGGGGTATGTGTACACATGGGGAGGGGGCAGGAAGCCGAAGAGGTGGATTCTCCAAACCACACAGCCTGTGGAGTTGGGGAGCCCGGTCAGGATGGAACAAAGCCCCCAACTGAGAGCCCCCCACCAAGGACTCTGGGAATTCATTCCCTATCCCCTTGGAGAAATCTGGCCCCCTGACCCTGGAAGGCCCCCAACCAGCTTCAACTCGGGTGACAACAGAGCCAGTGTTTACTTGGAACAAAGCGCCATGGGGAAATGAAAGCTGAATCAGAACTGGGCTGGCCCCTGCAGCCGGGTGGGAACATTAGGACATGTACGCACATCTTCAAGGAAGAACGGCCAAGGGCATCAGACAGGCCCAGAGGAAAGTCCTGGGTCAGGGTGAGCAGCGAGGGGACCATCACTTCTTGCAGGAAGACCCAAGTCTAGGCAGGCTTTCTGGAGGAGGTGGTATGTGAGCTGAGCCTTGAAGGATGGATGAGAATTGGCTAGATTTCAAGGAGGGCATGGGGCAGGTGTGCTAGGTGCAGAGGAAAGGAGGGAAGCAGAAGAGCTGGGTGTGAGGGTGGAGAGCACGTGGACAGGACGGGGAGCCAGCACATCACAAGGACAGGCGGGGCCCGTTATGAAGGACCCCACCGTCTCCCTGAGATGGGACTTTATTCAGGCAGAAGTGGGGAGACTCTGGAAGTGAGGGAGTGAGAGAGTGACACGCCCCCACAGGGGCAAGGAGGAGACCAGGCTGGAAGCCCTGTTGAAAACAGCGTGATGCCCCGGGGAGCCACACTGGTTGGGGGCAGTGGCAGGGGGACAGCTGACAAGCAGAGTCCCCAGTCCCCCTGAGCTCTCAGCCCAAGGGCGAGGCAGGCACCCACCGTGAGGCCAACCCAGGCAGTGCTCAGTGGGCAGTCGGGGAGCAGAATTGGAGACAAGCCAGGAAGACAGGGAGCTGCTCACATCCCCGGACCCAGCACCACTGCCACGTGCGGTCCCGTGTCCTCCAGGAGTAGTCAACACCAGGTCACCCTCTGAAGTCGGTCGCCTGGCCCACCCCCTCTGAAGTCGGTCACCCGGCCCACCCCCTTTGGCCTGGCCCTTGGGTGGAGGGAGAGGACTTATTGGCCAGCAGAGGGGGCCAGTGAGCAGGGCATTCGCGGGTTTGGGGTGACTGGAGCTGGACTTTGGTGGCCCATCCAGAAGGGCTGAGAACAGTTCTCCGAAGGAAGACCCTTAACTCCTGGGCACCTCATTCTGCCTCTGGCCCAGCCCCTCTCACGGGCGTTTTTTAAAAAGCGCGGGCGCTCCTTGCGCTGGCGCAGTGCTGCTTCCGCTGGAGCGGCCAATGCGCGGAGTGGGATGGTGGAGTTGGTTCGTTTCGCGATTCCCACCAGGAGTGACAAAACCTTGCTGGTGTGGGAGCTGAGCTCCGAACCCAGGACCGAGGCCTTGCAGGTGATTTGGCCAGGGTGGAGGGAGGGATGGAGAAAGCTACCCTCCCCCCAGTAACTGGGAGTCCTGGGCCAGGTGATCCACTCCCACCGCCGCCCGAGCCTCGCGTCCCAAGGTGACCCCCGCACTTAAAGAGCTTATGAACTAGTGGTGAGGAAAAGATGCACAAACAAATCAATAAAGAATAATGCTCTGCGTGGGGAAGGGAGCGTGTAGTAGTGTGGGGGTGGGGGTAGCAGCGGTGGTTCTGTACGGGGCTCTCTTGGAACGCAGGGATGTACACACGCTGGTCCCTCTGCCTGCTCAGGGCGGCGGTCGACTGGGCACTGAGCCTCCTCCCGTTCCCGGCCCCGGCCCCGGCCCGGAAAGGCGGGGAGCCGCGCCAGCAGCCGGGGAGCACCAGCCAGAGCCGTTACCCGCAGGAGCTGCGAGGGAGGGAAGGGAGCGATCTAGGGATCGGGGAAGGGATGGCTCCGCGGCGGCGCACGCGCGCCGCGCCCCGCCTGCCCTGTCCGCCTGGTTCCGCTGGGGAGAACGGAGAGGAAGGGGGCGGCCCTGATGGCCCGGGTGCGGCGCTCCCCAGGACGGCCCCTACGCGCCCCGGGTGGCAGAGCGGGATGGGGCCGGCGCGATCTGATCTGCCTCCACCGCCAGGGCGGCGGGAAGCAGGCGGTGCTGTGCGCAGGCGCGCCCGGCTGAGCCCTCCGCTTGGGGCGGCCCGAACTGGGTTGGGGCATGCGGAGACGGCCTCCAGCCCCCGCCGGGCCTGAGCCGCAACTGCTAGAAGCCGGCGACGGTTGTAACGGCAGCAGGCCTAACGGCCCAAAGCCGGCACAGAAGATCTAGGCACTAGGCCACAGCACTTCACACCTCTGATCTTGCTTTTGCTCACCTGTAAAAGGAGGGAGATTTAAAATGCCTGTTCTGCCCACTTCTGGGGGAGAAGGGAGTAATATAATAGGTAAAAAAAAATTTTTTTTTGAAAAATAAGCAAAATTTTTATTTAAGTGGCAAATGTTATTATTTATAATGTGCTCCAGATCATTGATAGAGACCATATTCAAGCTGTTCTGGGCACGAAAGCACATCTTGGAAGTCATCAAGTTAAGTGCCAGTAAATCTAATGTATAGAAAAATCCTTGAAAGCATCTGAGTGTTTTGTGGATAGAAATGCTTGAGATTCAGAGCAATTTGAACCCCTTAATTACTTGATAGATAATATAACTAAGAACTAATAAATATAATTAACTTAAGATACTGGATGGATAGCAAGCCTTTAAATGATTCCTTACATAACTCAAAGAATTTTTTCTGAGAATTCTGAAAAGTGACATGGTTGTTTTTGGATCAAAATGCAAAACTTCAATTATTTACTATATAGGACTAACTTCTATATGTAGGGGAAACCTGGGTAATGGTGCCACCTAAATACCCTAATTCTTACTCAATTTGGAGATGGTGATCTCTGCTCCGTTTTCATTTAATCATTTCTCACATCTTCTTTTGTGTCCATCTCTCTCCATCACATACACGCACACCCCTATCCGCTCTTAATCACCAAATACATTTAATGCCTACTCTTCAGACCACAAATTCTTAGAACCCAACGCTGGGTAGCACTAATGTTGCAGAGCTGCCATTCTTTTCTCTTTTCCCAAACCGTATCTGGAAGTCCCAGACAGAACTATATTAAGGCTGCAAATGAAGCCATTTGATTTTTCCCCCATTAATTTTTCCCCCAAGCGACACTGACAAACATGCGGAGGCCACGGGAGGCCGCGCCAGACGCGGGCACCAGGGGACTGTGGGTTAGTGTCCTCCAGGAGTAGCCAACACCAGGTCACTCTCTGAAGTCCGTCACCCGGCCCTCCCGCTCTGGCCGGGCCCTTGGGTGGAGGGAGAGGACTTAATGGCCAGCAGAGGGGGCCAGTAAGCAGAGCATTCAAGGGTTTGGGGAGACTGGAGGTGGACTTTGGTGGCCCATCCAGAAGGGCTGAGAACAGTTCTCCGAAGGAAGACCCTTAACTCCTGGGCACCTCATTCTGCCTCTGTGAAATGCAGCAAAGAGCTTCGGGCCCCTTTCCTCTGCCCGGAATAAAACATTTATTGCTTGTGTTTATTGAGCTAATGTTTACCATTACTGTGTGCCAGACACTGAGTGGCTGACTTCATCCTCACCATAACCCTATTACGAGGGAGGTACCGTTATCCACCCTCACCCCCTTCACATGTGAGTCTAGAAAGGCAAACAGAGAAGTTTAGTTTCTTCGCTAAGCTCACAGCACACACCAGAGTAAGTGGCACACTTACAACATAATATGGCTGAGCCTGACTAGGGCAGAACATCCTGGGGACTTTAGAAAGAAAGGTCCCAGCCCATAAGCCATTTATGGGTATCAGTGTCCGGCATGGTATGGCAGGGAGGGGCTGAGAGGAACAGAACTCAGCCTGGCTCTCGCCCCTTACCCAGGGCCTGGCCCCCAGGGCCAGGCTGCACCAGGCCACACAGGCCTCTCACCACAGCTCCCAGAGAGGAGTGCCTGCATCCCAGGCAGCAGCTCCAGAGGCCCGACGTGTGCGGCCTCTGAGGCTGTCCCTAGGTGTGGGGTCTTGAGATCTGCGTGGTTTGGGTCCTGACTCAGCCCCTGTGTCGTCTGAGACTTGGCTTCCCCGCCCCTCTAGACTCCAGTTGGCTTCTCTAAGAAGGGAGCAGGTGGACCAGCTGACCTCCAAGGCCCTTCCAGCTGGGCCCTTGTAGGACACAAAATCAGCTCCTTCTTTAGTGAATGGGCCAGGGAGACACGAGCGAGTATGAAGACATTTCAACTTTGCTGCTCTTGGGAAACCCCAGATGGAATTTGGCATGGAATCTAGAAGGACCTACTGACTGCATGAGGTCTCTGCCCCCCCCCCGCCTGTGTCCCCGCACATCTGCGCACACACATGCACACACGCCCCACCCACTGCCAGATTACGTGTTGGGAGGAAGATGTTGTCCTTGTCCAGGGCCCTCCTGCCTCTAGACAAGAAAAGGCCCTTGTCTGCTCAGTCTGGGGCCCCACTGGGCCCCCACCCCAACCAGACCTCACCTACCAAGAACGCTGGGGCCCTGGGAGCCAGGATGGATGTTGACAACAGGGCTTGGTGTTTCTGGCTTGACCTGGGACCACCCACCTCAGACCCCTCAACCCACCCCCACTCGCAGGAAGGAGGATAGAAAGGAAGTTCGATGTCGTAGAAAAAACTGGTGACCCAGAGGCAGGTCCCAGAGGCCCTCTGGACTCTGCCCGTAAGCCTCACTTTCCCTTTGGGGAGACATGGGGCAGGGGACAGAGTAGGGGTTCTTCTCTGACATTTTAGGGATGTGGGTAGGGTTGCCAGATTTAACAAAAACACAGGCTATCCAGTTACATGTGAATTTCAGATAAACAACAATTTTTAGTGTAAGTATGTCCCCAATATTGCATGGGACAGATTTATACTTAAAAGTTATTCATTGTTTCTCTGAAATTCAAATTTAACTAGGCATTCTGTATTTTGTCTGGCAACCATACATATGTGTCAGATGTGTGACAGAGGGAAGCAACGCCATCCTGCCCTCCTCCTGCTCCTCCTCCGGGCACCCACTGCCTGGTCCCTTCACCTCGTCAGCCTTCCACATCGACCCTTCATGTTCCTCCATGCCCTTCTCAGCACCCTCATTTCACTCCCTAGTATACCCACCCCCCACAAGCTCACCCATCTTCCCCTCCCTTAAGGGTGAGGATAGGTCCTCTGGAGGGCTCCAGGTCTGGGCAGAGTGGCAGAGGGTGTGGGGGAGATGCCTTAGGCCTTGGGTGTTGGTGCAACTTGGCCCTGGAAGCCCAAGTCAGCAACAACTTCACTAAGGAGGCAGCAGTGTGGGTGCTGAAGGGAGAAGGCTCCAGCACTCTTGAAACTGGGACTCCCTTGGCAGAGGGGTGGGCTGGGTCCTGAGCCAGCTGGAGGGGGAGGAGGGAAGAAATGCTGCCCCCCATTGCCTTCTCCAAGATCCACCACCAGAAACTGCGAATAGAGAGGGCATTGTCCAGGGCCAGACTCCAATTCCACTTGGATCAGGAACTGGAAGATTCTGTTCTTAGGGGCCAAGAGATAATGAGAAACAGAGACAGGGGAAGAGGGAGACCAGGGAGAGAGATACTGGGAGAGAAAGCAGGAGAGTTGGTGAGAAACAGACCCAGAGACAGGGAGCCACAGGACCAAGCCAGAAACAAGTGAAATGGAAAGAGACAGAAAAACAGACTCCTCCACCAAGACAGACAGAGATTAACAAAGAGAAGAAACAGAGATGGGGAAACAGGGAACATGTAGGAATGGAGAGAAACTGCGTGGAGACAGAGATGAGGAGAAACTGAAACAGAAGACAGAGACTGGGAGAAATGAGGAGAACCAAGGAGAGGTTAAATATAAGACAGAGATAAGATATTAAAACTGGGGAGATGAGAAACAGAGGTAAGGAGAGAGCTTCGAGAGAAAAAGGAAAGGAAGCCAGAGGAAGACGCTGTCCTTTCCTACTAGGTTGGGGATATTTCTCAGTGGCAAAGACAGATTTGAGACATAGCAGGAGATGTCTAAATACCTAAGAACTGCGCTGCTCCTGGAGCCCTCCACCTTTCCCCAGGTCAGGGAGCAGCACCCCAGCCACCATGTCCATTTCACCCCCGCCCCAGGGGCTCCATCTCTCCAACTCCCACTCTGTCTCCAGACGTCTCATCTGTGTTTGGGTGTCTGGTTTTCACCCACCGAGATGGCCTCCTACCCCACCCGCCAGCCAGCTCCCCCTGAGGGAGCTCTGGGAGGCCCAGCCCCATGTCCCAGCCCCGCGCCGCCTGGCTCCGGGGGAATCTCGTGTTGAGCGATGCTGCCACGAGCCGGCCGGATCCGGGAAGCACATCGTGCCTCAAGGGCTGGCCGCTGGCAGCCGCGGGTGGAATCCCGCCCCTCCCAACCGGGACCGCCTCGGCGGGGTCTTTCCAGGAATCCGGATGGGCTTGCTTGCCCACGCCTCAGCCCAGCCGTGGATCCGGGGACAAGTCTCTGAGTCTTGGGGCTTTAATTTCCCTTGTAGTCAAGTGGAGGAACTGTAAGAACACCTCCTCCCAGGATTCAGGGGGAGGAGGTGCGGGGAGATGGTGCACCAACGTACTAGCAGTGCTCTGCTCCTGGGTCTCCTTCCCTACAAATCACCCAGGCCGTCCCTCCATCCCTTCTTGGGAAAAAAGAAGAGAAAACAAAAGTGACACCTCGCCTCCTCTCTCCGGCAACATCTGCCCCTAGAAGTCCAGGCGGGAAGGGACTTCAGTGGTCCGGCTCCCTCTGCATCTGGTCGGCGCAGCAGTCCCTCTCTTAAGCCTGTAACTACTTGGGGGTGGGGCGGTTGGGGGTTGGGAAGGGGTAGCTCAGTAGTCTTGAAATGACCCCATAGGTTTTTTTTTGTTTTGTTTTTTGTTTTACCAGTTTGTTGCTTCTACCTCCCAGACTTCACGTTCCTCTCCCCTTCCCCGCCCTTCCCCGCCCTTCCCCGGCCTGACCCACCCCGTGCGTTGGCTCCGCCCCCACCCCAAGGCGGGGACCTATAGGTGGAGAGTCGTGGGAAAGGTCGCGGCCCCGCCTCTCCCCTCCTTCTCATACACGCGGAAGCTCAGTGGCCCCCATGCCAGGATGTCTAACACCTGGGTCCCCGGCCTCGTACCCTACTTGCTGTTCGGCCTGCTGGCCGGCTTCCAACAGGTGAGCGCTTAGAGGGTAAAGCTGTCGAACTTTCGGGCCCACTCTGGTGGGTCAGGGACCTGCTTCTGCCGCCGGATCACCACCTTCCATTGTCAGGATTTCCTCGTGATCACAGGCAATTAGCAACTTCCTTTCTCTTTTTGCCCGGGAGGTTGGGGCAGCGGAGGCAGGCCCTGCGATGGCTTGGTTTCCTTCACCTCGAGGGTACCGTGTAGTGGGACCCACCGCCATCCTACAAAACTAGCGCCTCTCTGTGACTGGGGACTTTGACCCTCATATTAGCCTTGTCTTGTCCTTCCCGCGGCGTCAGAAAGCGGGGACTCTCCGGAGCCTGAGGTCTGGACGCCTGGTCAGCCTGTCTCCCCAGCTCTGTTTTTCCCATACTGGGTGACCTTGGAAGAAGTCCTGGCCCTCTCTGAACTGTGTTTTCTTGTTTGTGCCCTAGAGGAAAGGAGGCTCCCTCATCTCCTTTTTAGGAGTGGGGGTAGGATTCCAGCTGGTGATAGGATTTGATCCGGCTGCCTGGCCCAAGGCTGGGGAGACCTCTGGAATCTGTGGTTTCTGAGATTCTGAGGGTTAAGGTTTCAGCACCTCTTCATTCCTCCCTCCCCCAGTGATGGGGGTGGTCTATCCAGTTCTGGGATGGGAGATTACCCTAGAAACTGACATGGGTCCGTTAGAACACGGATTTTTTTCTTCTAAAAGTCTGAAGGAAGCCCCAGGCCTTCTCCCTAAACATTCACGAACTGTGCTGACTTTTAGAGCAGCTCTGCCCCAGAAGCCCTGGCACCTCCATCACCAGCTGGCACCAGGTTTGTGTCACCTCTTGCTGATTCCTCCCAGCAATTCCAGGGGGCAGGTGCTGTTAATGCCCCCAATGCATATGTAAGAAAGCTGAAGTTGCCCAGGATTACCCCAAGGCTTGATAAAACACAGGCTCTGAACCACCTCAGATAAGACCACTCCCTATTTACAACAAGGCTGGGAAGAGAATCTGGGAGAGGATCCCCTACTCCTCCAAACAGGAGCTCAGGATTAATTTATTAAACCTGTTCATTGTCTTTCTTTGTTGGGGGCCAGGAGAGGGGGGAGGAAGAGGGGCTGGGATCTGAGGGAAAGGGGACACACTGAGTGCCTGGACCTCTTGGGCTGTCCGCCAACTCTGCAGTCACCTCCATGTGCTGTGTGGCCCTTACCCTCTCTGGGCCAACCTGCGGGGGTTCATTCCTGCTCCTGACCACACTGGCCAAGGCTTGTGCGAAGGAGGTGTGCACATGGGATTGCGCACACAAAAGGGGAATCAGTCCAACTGTTTATTGGCTGTCATTGGTATTCTTAGCTCTGCCATTATTGTCGTTCGCATTGAAATGTTATTTCAAAGTATAAAGATATGGTGGTCTTGCCAAAGTTGGCTTCTTGTTCTTGAACCCTGGTTGTTTGCACTCCGCCCCCCACTCCCCAGGCTGGGATAGGGTGACAGATAACCTCCATTTGTTGTGTTTCAGCACCTGCATTCCTCTCCCAGGGTCTGGGAGCAGTCAGAATGAAATGAAACCAGGTTGTCAATGGATGCTCCTCCATTCATTCTGCCAATATCATGACTGTTGGTTTTCAACAGTGATGAAACAGACAAAAAATCCCTGTGCTGGTGGAATTTACATTCTACTGTGGAGACAGACAATTAACAAGCTAGAGTAAAATATATTATGTGTTAAATGTTGATAAGAGCTAGGCATAGAAAGTAAGCACAGTTAAGGGAAAGGGAGTACTTTGAGGGAGTAGATGAGATTTTAAATCAGATGATCAGAGAGGACAGTGCTGGACCAGGCTTTCAGATACCTGGGGAAACGATGTTCCAAGCAGGGCTTATACACATATTTGCTGTCAATCAGGTTAAATTCTGTAATGATAGCCTAAAAGGCCCCCAGAACTAGTGCAGAAGAGGTAGGGAGGAAGGAGCTGCTTCCAGAGAGGAGGATCTGCCCTTCTCAGAGCCAGGAACTCCCCAGGCAGGGATCTGAAGGATGAATGGGCATTCAGCAGGCCCTGAAGGCTCAGGGAAGAGGGCTTGCCCTTGTATGCAGGTGTAAAACAGCCAGGCATGTACAGGGAACTCCCAGTGAGTGTCTATGCCAGAGGGGGAGGGAGGCGGGGCTAGGGCTGGTCCCTGGAGTTGGGCCTCAGGGAGTGGTTGAAGGGGCTTCCCACCAGGTTTTGAGTGGTCAGATTCGTGGACTGGAACTGCAGCGGGTTGGGAGGGACACTGGTGGGTAAGTTGCTGGTGTCCTGGCCCATCATGGGGATGGATGAGAAGGGTGGTCAGAAGGCTTACAGAGCTAGGGGTGAGCACATGTGGTGGGAGGTATGGTGAGGAGAGGAAGGAGAGCTGGGGCCACTGGGTGGCAGCTGAGGGGCCCCAGCCCTTGACCTGAGGCACATGGAGAGTGAAGTGAAGAGCAGGTTTGGGGGAATAGGCCGGCCCACTGGGGACCTGTTGGCCGTGAGGTACCTGGGTAACATCTGGGTGGAGACCCCACCCCCACATTTATGACCCCAAACCTCTACCTCTTCTCTTCCACAGGCTGCAGCCGCATGTGGTCTCTTATTGTAAGTCTGCAGTTCGGGCTGTAAATTCCAGTGTGAGGAGAAGATACCCCAAATCCTGCCCTGCCTGCCTCCATCATCCTCACCCACTCCCCTTCTAGCCAGAAACCACCCCTCCAATCCCCCACCCCGAGAGGGAGACTCCCCTGCTCCACCCCTTCCCTCCCTCCCTCAACCATCAGTGGGCTGATCTGAAACCTAATCCCCATCCTTACTGCAGTCTCCCGCCTATCTCCCCTCTGAGGGTACCCCTGGAAAGCAGGGCAGACACTTTTAATATACATTAATGCTAAGAGGCCCAAGCGCAGTGAGGAAGGGCTCGGGGGGGGTGGTCTCTGGGAAGGAAAGTGTTTCCATCAAGCCAGCACTGGACGTTCCAGGAACACCCTGTCCTTCCCACCTCCTCCTCCACAGGCACCAGCCACAGCTCCTCCTGGAGTTAGCTCCTGGACCCTCCCCACTGCCCCTCTCTCTACAACTACTTAGAGGGATGTTGTAGCCCCTATAACACTCAATCCCCACACCTGCCCAGTGAGGTCAGCAGGACATTCATCACGCCCATTTTATAGATAAGAAAAGTGAGGCCCAGTAAGGAATGTAACTTGGCATGAGTGCACAAGGCTGGTAGTGAGATGAGCCTGAAACTCAGGTCCTAATCCCAGCGACAGTTTTCTCCCACTGAACCCTTAGAGGGGTCCGTATCCCAACCCTGCTAGGGGTGTGGCTCGTGCCCTGAGCAAATGGGTGGGTTTTAGGGAAGCTGGGATCCTTCTGTCTCCCCACCTTGGTAGCAATGGTCTCTCTTGACCCCCTACCCCCAGCACCTGCCCTAAAGGATTCAAATGCTGTGGTAACAGCTGCTGCCAAGAGTACCAGCCAGAGGTGTATGAGCTCTTCTCCGGCCCCTTGAGGTGAGCCTAGGGCCAGTTCCTCTGGGCACAGTTCTCCAAGGGGTCTGGTCCACACAGGCCTGGACTGGACTTCCTGCCAAGGAGAGTGAATGGAGGTCAAGGGAGGGAGGGAGGTGCGAAGGGGCTGGGCTGGGCTGGAGACTCAGTGATGTTGGTGGTTCCTCATCCCAGAACCTCTGTCATCGTCATCCTGATCATCTTGCCACTCTTGTGCGTCTGTGACCTGGCTAAGCGCTTCTGTCGCAAATGCAGAAAGCTGGAGCAGGACCCCCCGATGGATCACGAGGGGACACCGGAACGGCCTTCCGTCGCTCCCCCCGAGAGGGTCAGGGAATCCATTTCTGAGCCCCCACCTCCCTACAATGAGGTAGGTGTCTGTCCCAGTCCCTGCTTTGCCCCTCAGCTGTCTGTACCTCCCTATTCAGATTTTTAGAGCAACAGGGACAGTGGGGGGTGTCTTTACAGCACGTCTCTGGACTCTAGGGAGGGCTCCACAGCCAGCACCAGGTCACCCCTCTCCCTAGTAAACATGCCGCCACCAGCACATGGGTGGCAATGGTCAGTGGCAGGCCCTAAAAAGACTCTGTGTCCCCTCCTTTCCTGCAGGTGATTCTGAAGCCCATACTGGGCCTGCCTCCCACGGAGCCACCCCCTCCCTACAGCTTCAATCCTGAAGAATATGCCAGGGTGCACAGAGGCATCGACAACCCAGCCTTCTGAGCCCCCTCCTGCCTGGAACCCTGCCATCAGCCGCCACCTCCCCAAGGCCTCCTGGGTCAAGCCGGAGACTCCGGGGACCCCTGGAATGCCCCCCAACCCATCCTGCCACACCTCTGCCATTTTTGGCTTTAACTTATTGCTTTGCCTACCCCTGTTCTACACCAGTTGCCTCTCTTGTCCCATGGACTGGTCGGGAGTGATAGTGTCCACCCCTCACCTGCCATCCCAAGTTAGAGGCTGCCAGGAGGAAAGCGTGCACAGCTGGAGGTGCCGGGCAGCAGAATGGGCTGCTCTGAGGAGTGGAGAGAGCTGTGCCTCTGGGAGGTACGATCTTGACAGATGAGATGTTCTGGAGGGCACTAATGTACTTTGGGAGGCAGGACTGCTTGAGCTCTGAGCCACCTCCAGTTCTGCCTGAGGAGACCCCATTGTTCCCTCCCCTCCCCTCGAGACACGTGTCCCATTAAATTTCAGTTGACGGTTGCTGAGAGTCGGCCTCTGACTGTGTGGGGAGGTGAGCCCAGGCACTGCTGGGGGGCTTCGGCGGGAGGGTCACTGCGCCTGAAATTCCACCATTGATGATTCATCCAAGACCGTGTTGATGATGAGCCTGGGAGGACACCACGTCTGTGGGCCACCTTCTGGGAGAGGGTCTTTGCAGATAGTGTGACCTCTGGTTCCTTGAGATCTCTGGCTGCTAAAGAGCCTGGATGGGGAGCTGGGGGTGGGATGGGAGTGACCATTGTGTGCTTCCCCACCCCGTCCTCCCTCTGTTTTCCCTGGGACACGGGCACGCAGAGCCCAGCTCTCTGATCTCTGACTCTCTCATCACAGGTGGGGAGGGGCAACAGAGGGGAGTGGGGGAGGTGGCCATCTGTGGGGCAGGGCCTCGGAGAACGTGGTCCACTCCACCCTGGGATCTCCGGAGGAAGAAGAGGAGAACCTTTCAGTCCTGCCTGATTCTGGGTACTGCCACCTCAGCCCGACTTGCCGGGTTAACCCCTAAGAGGAAAGAGACTTTCGCCATTGCAGCATAGGAGCATGCACGGGGCCTTCGTCCCCAGGGGGCCTGCAGCAGAGCGTGGAGCTGGGAGCCTGGCATAAGACATGCAGCATGAGAAACACCCCTGTGCCAGCGTCTCAGGGGCTCAGGCAGGTCTGGGATCCTCCACCCCAACCCTGCCTTTGCCCTGCTCCCCACAGCCTCTGAATGCTGGCCTTCCTCCCCAGGCAGAGGGCACAAAAGTAATGCTGGCCAAAGCTCCAGTGGGGGCTGAGGTAGAACTGGCCCTGGTGCGCTGGCAGGGATGCCTCCTCTGGGGCTCTCCCAATAATGCCCTTTCTTGGGGCATCAGGACCCAGGTAGGTGACACGGCCGGGGTAGGGAGATGGCACAAAAAGATGTTAGAAACAAAGATGCTAGAAACAGGGGCTCTGGTGGGGGATTCTGGCTGGAGACAGAGCCCCAGAGAGAACAGTAGCTACTGGACAGCAGAGCTCCAGAGTTGGCAAGAGAATGAGCCCAGCCATAGGCAATTTCCCTTCAGTTTCGAGGACTGATCACAGGGAGCAGAAGGCAGATATGTGAGTGCTTTGTGTAAACTCCAGTTAGAGACGTCCCAGAGCCGATGCTGCCCTCACTGTGGTAAACACCCACCCCGGTGAGAGGATGTTAAGCAATGGGCCTTGCAGACCTGGAAGAGGAGGTAACCCTCTGCCTGGACGCTGCCTGCCTTTCATCAAAGATGACATAGGGTCTTTAAATCCTTCCTAGCAGCAATAGAGTGGCCTGGAGGAAAGTGGCTGTCATGAAGCCCAACACGGCTGGGACCTGGTAGCAGAAATGAACAGTTCTGTGGCTCTGTTCACTGTTGGTGGGAGCAGAAATAGCGTGATCTTCCTGGGGGGCAGTCCAACAGTATCCATTCATGCCACAGATGTTTACAAAGATCCTACAATATGTCTGGCAGTGGGTCGCCATTAAAATTTAAAAAGCACATGACCCAGCAATTCCACTTCTAGGGATGATCCTTCAGAAATGCTCATACAAAAGAGCTCAAAGAGATGTCCATTGCAGCATTGTTGCTGGGGGTAAATGAAAACACCCTTAATGTCCATTGATACTGCAAAGAATGAAGTGGATCTGAAGCACTGACCTGGCACAATGTCCATCATTTATTGTTACAGAGAAACGGCAAGTTTCAGAACAGTCTATGATCTCAGTTTGTACATATATACATCACGTGTGTGTGTGTGTGTGTGTGTTTTCCCCCTTTGTAAATGTACAAAGAAGATCTAGAAGAATATGAACTCAACCACACTTGCCACACTTTTACCAGTGGTTGGCACTGTGGGATGGAGGGATGGAAGTAGTCAATTGTAAGGGAGGTTTCCTATTTTGTGTGCTTTGTCATTGTTTACATTTTCCAAAATGAGCAAGCATGGCTTTCACAATTTAAAAAAGATCTTTAATGGAAAATATAAGCAGCTTTAGAAGTTAACAAAGACTCACCTTGTGAACTTTGATCGACGGCAATTCATGTATTATCAGCCCTGCTACGAGGAAGAGGCTGGAAGGACTCAGACTCGTGGCACACACATGACATGCAAGGGACCCAGGGAATAAATAATTGATGGACGTGGGAAGGCCTGGACGCCTGCCAGCCACGTGAGGACATGTGATGCCTGTATGTCGCACCTATGCAGGACTGTGATGGACACTCAGTATATGTCAGACATCTGGCTGGTTGGTTGGGTGGATGAGCAATTTCACAGCGACTGAGAATTCACCCCTGCGCTTCATTTAGCAGCTCAAACACAACGAAGAATAATAAAAGATGGAATCACTTAATGAGTGAATGAATGATTAACTAAGTGAACAGGTGAGTGAGTGAACAAATGTGAAGATCTGCCAGGACATTTGAAATGACACAGGCAGCCTGGTTACCACCAAGGCAGCACGCCTAGTGACTGTGGACTTGACCTGTCTGCAGGGGCTCCCCCAGAGGACTGGGGAATGTGGGAAAAGCTCTGAGGCAGGGAGCAGGCAGGGTAGGGAGGTGGGGGGACCTCAGGCTCCTGGGAGGAGGGAGGAAGAGAAAGGGGATTCAGCTGCTGCGGGAAGCTGGAAAGAGAGATGACACCAAGAATCCTACTCACCTCGGGACTAGGAGCCAAGACTCCAGCTTCTGACATTTTAGCTTCGGCATCCAGCACCTCTAGGTCTCAGGCCCCGTTTGCACAATGAACAGGTGGACCCCATCCAGCGCTGGCAGGATGTTGCTCTCTGGCTCCCAAGTTGGGAGGGGCTGAGCAGCTATGAGAACTCAGGGGCCCTCCTTGACTCCAGTAGCCTTTTCTCTACCACATCTTGATCTTGTCATTCCTTGTCACCTCAGACCTCCCACCCTGTGAACATCTCCTCCTAGTCCTCCCGCTCAGATATTTTATCAGCCCCACGCCCGCGAATCTGAGCATGCTGAGAACTCCAAGTCATCAGCCTTAGCTTCTTGCAGTGCCGTCAGCTATGCCCTTAATGCCTTCAGCCAGCGTGGAGTCCTGGATCCCCACCCTCTAGCCCCAGTTCTAAGTCCTTTACCCTTTTCTCCATCCATTGTCCTCACCTGGAAAAATCCCAAACTCTGGTTGGAACCAACTTCTGCTCAAGAACCAGTACACCTGTGCAATTGGACTCACTTCAAAATCAAACCTGCAAATCTCAAGTGGACCCTCAATGCCTTAGAAGCATTACTTCCTCACTCTTGAGATGACAAATTCACACCTTCTCCTCTGAATCTCTCAAGCTCCCAAACTCAATTTCAGGTTGCAATGCAATCACACTAGAACCACTCAATTCTGCCCCACCCCAACTGCCGCCCCCCACCCCGCCTCTGGCTGCCGTGGAAACTGCATTGCCTTCCTGCAACTGGACTCTACCCCTCATAGCTTCTCAGGACCTCGCTCCTGCAGTGATTCCTGCCCAGCCACTTCTCCCTCATCACTGGACCTTGATCATGATCACCTGTGCATCATCGTGCCCCATGATCCTCTTAGAGAATCCCCTGATACTCTCATCCCTCCCCTTCTCACTGCACCCTGCTCCAGTCAGCCCTTTGTCCCCATCATTACACGAAACAGCTCTTGTCCACATCACCAGTGATCTACATCTGGCCAAAGGCGAAGGTCAGTTCTCAAGCCTCATTTACTCGGTCTCTGGGCATTTGACACATTTGGCCACTTCTTCTTCTTAAAGAATTTTCTTATCTGAACTTCTCTGATGCCACCCCCTGGTTTTCATCCTGTTCCCCGCCGCTGCTTTCAGGTTTCTTCACTCTCCTCCCCTGCCACTAGCTCTGAATGACAGTTGATCTGGGATCCTATCTTCAGTCCTCTTGTCTTCACCTTCATTCCCTCCCGTAGTGGGTCTCACCCAGCTCTGTGACTTCATAGACCATCTGATGAACCTCAGATCTTTATTTCTGGCCAAGACTTCTTCCCTGAGCTCCAGACTTAGGTAGTCAACTGTCTAACACCTCCACTGGGATGCATTTCATAGTCCCAGCTAGGTCCTAGTTTCCTCCCCACCCCAAATCCAGTCCTTCCCAAGTTGTCCCATCAGAAATATATGGCACTACCTGCCAGCCTGCTGTTCAGGCCCAAGAACTGGCGTATTTTTCTAATTTCTCTCTTTCCCTCACCCCTGGCCTCCATCCTGCCTCCAGAATAGATCCATGTCCCCTTCTCACCGCTTCACCAATACAGCCCTAGACCAAGTCACTGTCAAGTCTAGCCCAGGCTGTCCCTTTGCTCTCCTCACTGGCTTCCTGCCTCCTCCGTCATCTCCATCTTGTGCCCTGCATGACTGCAAGATCTTCCTAAAGCATAAACGTGACCTATCACTGCCCTGCTTAAAGGCCTCTGATGAAGATCTTTAATTACTTAAGAATAAAGAATTTGTTCAGATGCTAGTGCTTCACAATATAACTTTAAATTAAATACAAATATCTAATAGCAAAAAAAAAAAAAAGCCTCTTCTGATCATCCATTGTGCTTGGAATAAACTCCAAAGCCCTGGCCGTGGCCTGCGGGACTTGCAAGGTGTAACCCCTCTCATCTTCTCCCTGCTCACTGCATTCCAGCCACCGTGACCTCTCTCCGAGCCTCGACTGTCCCAAATCAGCCTGGCTCAGGGCCTGTAGTGGCTTTCTGCTTGGGACCCCTCCCTCTGTACTTCTCTCCGGGACTTCACAAGGCTGCCAGCTTTTCGTCATTCTGGTTCCAGTTAACCTGTCACTTCAAGGAAATATTCCCTGAACACCCCACAGAAAGCCGCCCCTCCAGGCCCCCTCTGTTACACTAACCTATTTTATTTTCCTCACTGCACAGCCTCATCCTGGAAATCACCTTGTTTGCATCATGTGCTTCTGTGTTGACTGCCTGTTTCCCTTCTCTGGACCAGCGCTCCTCAGGACAGGGACCTGTCA